AATACTAGTCCATAAGCTCGTTAAACAAATTAAAATGGGACACTGTAGCATTCCTATTCAATGTTACCCACAACTTGAAATTCCAATTCACTAAGCGGTATCTTACCACATCTGAGTGTGTGGTAAGATACCGCACAGCTACTAAAAACATTCTTGCATGTTTCAGCTGTCAGCGGGATTCCCTGCTGACAGCTGAATGTAAAAAAAATTGCTGGCATTACCCGGCAATTAACATTTTTTTTAAATGCGTGGGGTCCCCCCCATCCATACCATGCCCTTTGGGTCTGCTATGAATTTTGAGGAGAACACCCATGCCAAAATGTAAAAAAAAATTGCGTGGGAGTCCCCCAAAATTCATACCAGACCCTTGTGACGATTGAGTGCCCCCCTCCTGAACCATACCAGGCCACATGCCCTCAACATGAGGGGGGTGCTTTGGTGCATAGGGGGCTCCCCTCCAAAGCACCTCGTCCTCATGTTGATGTCCCCACCCTGTCCCCTCTTCCCCACAACCATGGTTGGTGGTTGTGGGGATCTGCGGGAGGGGGCATAATGTGCTGTGATTGGCCAAAGAATTGCACCTGACGTGTGGTCAGATGCATTGCTTTGGCCAGTCACAATGAACTGTCAGGGCGCAGTGCATTGTGGGGCATGGCGGGCAAGCAGAACGCCCTTACCATTTGACTCTAACATCAAGCCCAACACTATTCTTCATAATATGGGGTTGTTTTGTAAAACAATTAATGATGATATTTAAAAAAGATTTGTCCACAGTTTTTTAATCTATACGCCACAACTCTGAAAATGTAAGGCATGCTGTAGTCTAAAACAATTACAGTAAAATCTGCAAAATAGTATCTAGTTATATCCAAGAGTCATGTCATATACCCACACAGGGCTCTGTACAGAGTGCAGCGATGTGGCTGTTTCTTCTCCCTGAAAAGAAAGGAGAAAAAAACAGCCACATCTATTAGAAAAAGCATATCACACACATTACACATTGTTAAGCACACAATTAACCTTTTTATTGCCCCTAGAGCGGGTGTCGGCAACCCGCGGCTCCAGAGCCGCATGCGGCTCTTTTTCACCTTGGCTGCGGCTCCGGAGCACACTGCCCACCGGGTGACAGGCAATAGGGCAGCAATGGGCAAACTACGGCCCGGCGGACCTTTTAATCCGGCCCGCGGAGCTAGGCTCCCGCTAGGCTCCTCTCACAGTCCGCCCTGAAGACCGGTGTAGCATGAAAATCTGTCTCCTATGAGGATCTGTCCCCCTCGACATATCTGCGCATGTGCCGGAGATCGCCGATCGGCTGCTAATGCCTGAAACTGGCACATGCGCAGATACGTCGAAGGAGACAGATCCTCATAGGAGACAGATTTTCATGCTACACCGGAACGGCGCGGGAACACGGCGAGAGGAACGCACGGAGCAAAGGTAAGTGAATTGACACAGGGGGGACTTGGGGACTTAATATGGGGGATGAATTAATATGGGGGATGAATTACTATATGGGGGATGAATTACTATGGGGGATGAATTACTATATGGGGGATGTATTTTCAGTTTTAAAAATGTGGCTCTCAAAATAAATTTCAATCGTGGTTTTGGCGAGATTTGGCTCAGTTGAAAAAAAAGGTTGCCCACCACTGACCTAAGGCTATGATTGTGATTATGACGATACACTGTGGCCCTGATTAACCCTTTGCTTACTGGGCCCTTAAACCCCCTTCATGACCAGAGCGCTTTTTGCAATATATGCAGTGTCGGATTTGTTTTAAATGTTGCAATGGTTTTGCGGCTCCCAGTCTTTTTTTCCCTCTCGGAAACGGGTCCAAGTGGCTCTTTATGTCTTAAAGGTTGCAGACCCCTGCCCTAGAGGTTAACCCCTTCCCAGCTAGTGTCATTATTACATTGACAGTGTACAGTATTACCACTGATCACTGTATTAGGGTCACTATTGATGTAAGTGTCAGTTAGTCAGCTAGTGTACCTCCCAGTCAATGTCTGCTAAAGCCAGATTGCCCGCCACACTATCACAGTCCCAATATAAGTTACTGATCACCGCCATTACCAGTATAGCATCATAGCTGAATAAATTCTAGTATATATACCATAGTCTGCAGACACTATAATTTTTGCACAAACCAATTTATATACACTTATTGAGATTTTCTTTTACCAAAGACTTATAGTGAAATACATTTTGGACTAAATTTATGAAGAAATTAGATTTTTTTGATGTAGAGGTCTTTGACCCCACTTTTCTTCACTGCAGTTAAGCATTAAAGCTTGGCCACCAGCATGCCCCAGTACTGATTGGAAAGAGTGCCATCACCGTACAGTACAGTACACTAGGGCCTGAATAGTATAGAGTGCTAACCCTCCCTTTTCCAATGTGAATCCCACTGATCAGGAGACTACAAGGTTGATATCAAGACATATTCAGGAACTAGATTATTTGTAATGGTTTCTATTGGATACATAACTAGATTAAATGGTCATTTATATTTGGAAATTACCATTAAATAGGATTTGGATGTCTGCAATTTGTGCTAGAAAGAAAGGTTAATACGAGGACACATTGGGGACCTTATGGCAACAGAAGACATCTGATAAATTTGGCTTAAAGATACTTCTGTCACCTAAAGCTACACACAGACAGCTATTTTTTTCAAATATCTACTATAAGTGGCAGAAATACACTTTCCAAACCTGGCTAGATGTTGCTATTTAACATGGATTTCCAGTCATTTGTTCATAGTGTCATGGTTCTATGAAGCTAAAAATTGAAGACTTCAGAAAAACTGTTATATACCTGACAATTTGATTGTTTTCTTTGTAAATTCTGTCAATTTTACAAGATCTTTCATCATCTCTGTATATCATTCTGCACGTCCACAGTCACCTGGAATGTTAATCAAATTTCAGATATTTGCTTTATCTTCGATGCATACCTTTCTGGCTAGTCCACATACAATATTGCTGATAAATATTAAGCATTTCCTCTTCATTTGTTCAGATGCCCTTGGCACTTACATGCAGCAGTTGATTAACATGAATCACAGTTTAAGGATCTTGCCCTGCCTTATAATTGTGCACTGTATTAATTTAGAAATATAGTATAGTTTAGTATTCTGTAAAGTTCAATTAGTTCAAAAGTTCAAAATATATTTTGTTTCCAGGCATAGTAAATTTTGGTTACAATTTTGAACTATAGTTTTATTTCTGGTTTAGACTCTACTTTGTAAAACAAAGGCATTGTAATAAGAAAATGATTTTGGGAAAGTGCTCCATAAAGTGCCCTTATAATGTAGACTTGCAGCTCTTGACAGAACGCTTAACCTTTTAATTGCTTTTGCAGAGAAATTATTATAAAAATGTCCTAACTTAATTATACTTCATTTATTTTTTATGTAAGATTATTTAAAATTTGCCAACAGATGTCAGGTAGCTCTCCAGGCTATTATTCAAGTTTAGTTTATTAGGTTGACTTACTGCTGTGCTATCAAAACACTGCATTGTGAATAAACCCGAATACCTTAGGGAGTTACCCTGATTTTAAGCTGGCCATAGATTAATTGAAATTCGGCCAGTTCAGCATGTACTGGGAGTGGTAAAACCCATTTTATTTTGCCATCCTTGTCCGACTTACTTCTTCTCCAATAGACACAACTGGAAGTGAGAGGAAATCTCTCCAAAGGGCAATTCACTATTAGAGATTTTATACTGGAACAAGTACCCGTATTAGAAGACCTTTCCTGTATTCCTGTTCCAGTGTTAACTCAAAATTCTTGATTTTCCCTCACTTCTATTACTGCTGACATTGACAGTGAGAACAAATAGAGAGGGGGGAATCTCCCTAGTGGAAGAGGTTCTTGCTCTTCCCTACTTTATCCAAATGAAAAAAAACTTTGGCTTTAGATACACTTTATTATATTTAAGTGATCATAGTCAATTGAACTGGGCCTCTGAAGAGTCCTACTGTACCATTAAGGCTCCTTTCACATGGTGTGGACCCGTAAATGCATACACTTGCTCAGTGGGGGATCATCCACTGAGCAAGTGGATGACAGGTCTGTGTCCACTCCACTTATGCAGAGCGGACACAGACACAACCTGTTGTTCTCTATGAGCTCTGAGATGGAAACGAATCGTCTGTCCATTTCCATTGGATGGAGAACAGATCCCCATACATTTTTATTAGTGGATCAGATGCTGTTTGGTTTCTATGCAGGGCTGCACCAGAGTTTGCACTCTGCACACCAGAGTTTACCGGTTTTAGTAAATAACCTCCATGGTTTCTAGAAACATGAGCACAATCTCTGTGGATACATCATTACATTCACAGTGTTTGCTTGTAAGCCCCTTGAGCCAAGTGGTATTGTTTGGATCTTAGACCCATTATAGCAAATTTATATGCTGGATTCACTAAATTTTATCGGGTTGTGGAGAGTACATTATTGTTTCAATTTCTGTCAGTACTTCTCTAGCTTAGTGTGAGATGCTTCTTATACTAAAGATCTTTAATTTGCCAGAACCCAAAGGCTGAAGGTTTTTTTTTTTTTAACTTAATAACTCTCCAGAGCTCTTTTGAATTCTATAACTGTGTAGAGTATTTTTAGTCATGCAAAAATATCCACTTTCCCATCAAAATGGTTTTTGTGCACAAAACAATGAACATCTGTACTAAATAAAAAAAGTCCAGATGGCAATTGTGTGGAAATATAGTTTGACATTTCTGACATAAACCATTATGTCATTTTGTTGTTAAAAAGTTTCCCCTATAGAGAATGTTTTCTATTAAATGACCATGTTTTACAAGTATACAGAGATGTAACTATTTTGATGTTTGTATTTATTCATAATTATATTTGTATTTATTCATTTTTTTATGTGTCTTTTAGTCAAAACACTGCTGGTTATACGTTATGGTATATGAAATGTCAGCACGCCTTGGAGAACTTTCATCCAAATTTTCAAACACATCACAAAATTATCTTATAATAGACAGCCTTTCTCTGATATTTCGAGAAATCAGGATATGTATCAAGCTCTCTGATCAAGAGGTACCTATCAGCTCCTTGATAGTATTACATTTTCTAATTTATTGATTGTATTATTAATAATAAAAACAATTTATCTGTAATTTGTAACTTGACAAAAATGTGACATTTTGTAAGTCTACATCCTTTATTCCATTATTACAGAAGTAAAATATCATTATTCCATATTATTAGTTGTATGTTCACATAATATTACTGCTAGTAGACAGTAAAGATTATTTTTTATCTTATGAAATCTCTTATATATATATATTATATATCTTATAAAAAAATAACTATAGCTACGCAATCTTCACTACATTCCTAGGAAAGCCTGTATTAGTGTCTAAGATGCAGTGAGGATAAAGACAGATTGTCTTGTGTTCATTCACTCATTTTTAAATTGATTTTACTACCCAAAGTTTTTTTAAAATAAGAGCAGTTAAGCTTGCTTACCATAAACTTTGTATGATTTAATAAATTACATTCTGTATTCAGGGTTCTTTGCTGGGTTCCAGTGATTCTGTTTAAGATTTGCAAATATTACATTAAAGCTTATTCTTTTATTATCCACAGATCATTAAGTGTTTAATAGTTCTAAGATAAGAGGAAAACATTAGCGTGAACATTCTTCAGTCTAAAAGAAATGATTCTAGTGTAGGACAAAAATGTATTTTCTTAAAAAAAAAATCAAGAGCAAGTAAAAGGGCCTCCCACAGAGTACAGAATGTAGCTGCAGGCCAACACATAATTACTGGAAGAAGCTGAGCATTCTTTCATGCGTGTGCAAATAGGTGAAAGTACTTAATCCAGTAGCAAAAACATGCCCCCCCCCATCACGGTGCATGCATTATATGTACACTGAACTTACCGTAAATATTTTGCATTCATTCTGAAAATTACACATACTGACAAACAACATCACTGGCAGAGCTAGTAGTAGTTAATTACATTGAATTTGACTTGTTCTGTAGACGTTTCAAAGCTTTTCAAAGCTCTCTCCAGTTCTCAATAAGATCCTTCACAAAATCTTGGGCATTCATCAAGTGGATAAGGATAGCTCATAAGCAAGTTCAGCCAGTGTTTACTATCATGATGGCTGAATATTGAACGGCTGTTCTTATAAATAGATTAAAAAAAAAACGTTTTACTAAAGAACTATTAGTAATATTATTGTACAGTTTTGTGATGTCTTTCCTTTTTTTCTACCCTAACAGGACTTTGTATATGAATATTTAGAAAATGTTTCTGAAGAGATGTTCTCCCCAAGGAATTTTTTTAATTTGGTTACTGAAACTATTTCAGTTTTCCGAGAAGTAAATAATACACACTTTGATGATATATGTATGGTACCTACAAGTGACCCTAGAGCAGGTACGTTTTATATCATATGGTTTTGTTTACTGCATATCCTATGTTAATATTAATTTATGGGCTCAAGAAATGTTTTTCTTATTTTTAGGAGACTCAGTTACAAAAGGAAGCATACAGTATGCTTCAAGTAAATTAAGAAATGGCAGCATATCTGGTAAGTACACTTTATGACTTATGTTCATGTGATAGTTGTTTTGATATGGGTTTTTTAACTTGTTTGAGAAAGAATTGATTGTGCTACAGTTTGAACAATTACAGAAATAGCAGGAGGCTGTATTTTCAGTAAGCACTTTTTTGTTATTTATTTGAATAGTTTTAATATTTTTTTTATTGATGTGTATGACTTTAAGACATTTTTAAGTTTGCTGTTCTTTATTTTTATTGTTTGAATAAATCTAGAGATGTGTTGATTAGCCACTAGAGGGGAGCTCTAAGTGACTTATTGCAATATATCTATTACATAACTGGGTGATGAGATATTGGTCACACAGAAAGAACTTTGTGTTCCATGAGTCAGCTGACGCAAATGGGTTGATTTACAAAATGTATACAAGCTATTAACTGTGGAAGGTGTATGCACACTGCAAAATGAATGTTAGTGAATAATGTGAGTCCGTTATCTTTTTAAGTACCTAATTGTGTTAGCAAAACTCTTGTTTCTTTTAGTTGTATGTATTGGCATCAGGCTGGTGTATGAGATATGCTCAAAGCATATCTAACATTAGCTACTACTGCAACTGTGGGCTGTCTCTCAGATAATACTTACTAATAATTGTAACGAGACCTGGGAATTACTTTTGTTGCTTAGGGCCAGTTCATGCCAGAATGCAGTGCAGGAAAGGCATGTTCTGGGCACATTTACTTCACCACAATTGAAGGTGCTACCCTTGTGATTTGCAGGTGCCAATATATTGTTAGCAGCATCCCAAATGCAGATCACAAATGTGATCAGTTTTCAAGCACCAGTTTTTCGTAGTATCGCAGTTTCCAGGTTAGGTAAGGCAAGACTAGGCAAGTTTAAAGCTGCAGATAGCATTCACGGTAGGTTCCTGGTATAGAATTCATCCTATACCTGTATATTTTTTAAAGTATCAAAAGTACAGGCATTACAATACAATTATTGGACACTTTTGCATTGTTTAACAATAACAATGTTAGAAGGTGTAAATCCACTTTAATACCCAGGGGATCCCAGTCTTTGAAATACTTGGGAACCAGTGAGCTTCCCATATTTCCCATTCCTCTCATTATATGCTGATTCCATTAAAACACACAAGAATGAGCAAGCTTTCTTAGCTAAATGAATTTGCCCCAAGACATATAAATCACCTTTATTATGAAATTAATTTATATCTTCAGTTACAGACATCAAAGTTAAAATTTAAATTTAGATATATTTTTAGCTCACTTAAGATTTAACATTGCCAGGAAGTTCACTGCTTATTAATTAGAAAAACATATAAATATGGTTATGCATGATAAAGAGGGGTGTAGTGATTTAATGTGTCAAATTTCAGTTCTTAATTTTCCAAAATCCACTCTTTCTTCATATGGCTGCATATTTAATGAGGCTAAAAGCAAGTTTTAGTAAACCCTTGTTTTATTAATAGTAAAGAGCAAATCACAAAAATTGCTAATTCACTGATTTTCCACATCTTGAATATTTGTATACACATCTGGGGAAAATGTGTTTGCCCATAGCATCTAGCCAGATTTTACCATGTTTCATGTTACACTGAGAATTTGGCTGTTATGTTGAATATGTACTATAACTTTGGGAACAACAAAACTTAAAAGGATAGCACACACATAGCTCCTATAAATGTTCCAGCAAACACACTTTTTTAATTAGCCTTGGCTCTTCTATTGAACTTGTATACTCTTCCATGTGAGACAGCAATTCAAAGACCCTCACTTCTGCTTACCTCAAATGAACACTAGGGGCAGATAGGTGTGATGAGAATGCAATGGGTTAAGTAATGGCTTCAGACACCATAAATTTAACAGGTCTAAAATAAAATATAGATATTCCTAAATGTTTACATTTTTAACTTTTTTACACTGCCTATTTAAAGTATATCTAAGAGCAAAAAAAACATATGCAGTATATTTCTGCAATACATGTTGATTTACCAAAATACCTGTTGTTCTACCAAAATGCACTCAGCCCCTAATTTTCTGTTGTGGTCTGGCAACATACAGCCATAATAATTTCGGCCTTGCCAAGTTATCTTTTGCCAATCCAGGGACAGGGACACAAGATAAGGTACAGCTCTGAATGTTTAACAAGAAAAAACTTTTTTTTGCACCCATCAAACAATTATTGAAAAAAAAAAAAATGTGATGTAACAAAGCAAAAGGAGGGAGCAAATAAGAGAAGTCCATAGTTAAGAGTGACATACACTTTAAAGCGCACCAAACCCTCCTTTATAGCCAAGAAAGTTGCCACCTTGGCCTCTGTTTGATCTGAAATTGCCATGGTACTGTACATGTGATCAGTTATGACACCAGCCATTTCATGGCTTGATGTTATGGTTAAGCATAAGCAACTATGACATGGCAGCATATGCCTTGAATGTAACTGCTTTGTGAAACTGGATTAAATTGACGACATTGTTGAACATCTCTATCACCATGACTCTTCAGTTAAACTCAGCCAGCAAACTATTTTCAAACTTGTTCAGCTTAACCATTCTTGCCAACACTATTTCACAAAGTACCTGCTGCAGAAAACAATTTTAACATGTCTGTGAAGCACGTGAATTTATTGATATTTATAATAAGTATTCTAATGTTATACAGTTCAATAAGCAGTGTTCCATATCAGATTAACCTACTCCAAATATTTACATTGTTGCATATTCCTGTACTATACAGTATACACTTTACCTTTCACATTCTAAATAGAGAGACATTTGGTCTACTTCAGATACTTCAAAGTTTGTATTTTTTTTCTTTTGTTTCTCTTTCTTACTTTACATCATAACTGGCAATCTTTTATAACAATTAATCTTATTTATAAAATATTTACACGGAATAGGAGTTTGGAAAGAATGGAATGTGATGTCATAGTTGTATCTCCCATCTAACTGCTATGTTTGGTATTTCGTTTTGGTTCTGGTACTTTTAGGATGTCACACAGTAAAGCATGTTACATAAATGATTGTCTTTTCATCAGTACAGCTTTTGTTGACTTTTACGTTACAAATATGGTTCAATAGAAAGAATACAGTGTATATGCAGTGAATGTTATCATTTTTAGCCAGCCATCAATCCAACAAATTGTAGACATTCCTGCTCATTGGTGACATTATATATATTTTTATACATATATATATACTGGAGGTTATGCAAGAATTTATTGGCACATGCTTTTTAGACACCCGTCTGGGAATTTTTTTCCCTTAAAGCAGAGTTCCACCCAAAAGGGTAAGCTCTGCTTGTCTGCCTCCCCCCCCCTTCACTGCCACATTTGCCACTTTTTGGGGGGGAGGGGGAGCAGATACCTGGTTTCGACAGGTACGAGCTCCCACTTCCAGCTCAGTTTGCCATGGCGAACTGAGCCAGAAGTATGGCCTCACTCCTTCCCCCGAAGTCTTCTGGGACACTTCACAAGTCCCAGAAGATTGCCAGACCAATCAGGAGGTGCAGCACGACTCGTGCATGTGCAGTGGGCTCCCAGCTGTGAAGCTGCAAGCTGTCACTGCCAAGTGCACACAGTTGAGATTCTGGCGCCAGGGAGAGAAGAGGGAGAGAAGGGATGGCACAGGCAAGCACTTCGCTGGATCTTGGGACAAGCGAGTGTGTTTGTTAAATTTCAGCAACTACAGTTTTTGTAGCTGCTGACTTTTAATAAACACAAAAAAAACGACCGGAAATCCACCTTAAACAAATAGCCTTGCGTTCACTTTGAACACCTAATCATGTGCAAAAAATGTTAAGTATTTTGCACAATTGGATGATTGCAGTGTATCCAACTTTACTGAGCTGGTGAAAAAGTTCTTTGTTTAGCAAATCAACTCCATTGTCTTGTATTGTCAGTCACTGCAGATAGGGTATACAGAAATTCACCCTCCCCCTTAGCAATGCATTAATATTTCAGTTCCTTTAAAGATCTTGAAATGATTTTATCTGAAATGGCTCATGTGCATAAATGCCAACAGATGTCATTAGTACAAGTTCCGCACCTACTGCAAGAGGAGAATTAAGTCATATGGCTTAACATAATATTGTGCATTAAAGTACTTACTTCCCTTCTTTGTAAATTACCCTAAAGTGCACAATGACTACAGAACTGGCCCATGCTGACTTTGCGATCCTTACCTTGATGAGGGTAACTCCAAGCTTTGAATTCAGGGATTTTTACAATGGTACTGGGTAAACTTTTGGATCATATTGCTTCAAAAAATACCTTATTTAAATAGGTGTTTTAGAATCTCAACACAAGCCCATTTTCTGTATCTGTCAGAATCTGGACAACAGCTCCGTTATGTGTTTACTCTAAGAATAAATAAGGGGATAATTAAGTTGCACAGGTTTTAGATTCTGCTACATTTTTTACATGATATCTTGACATCTTTTAACTGATTGCAGAGAAACAGACTGGGGAGAGCTGTAAATGGATATATTAATTGTGTAGCTTCAGATCATTTGGACAGATTTTGATAATTTATGAATATGAATGTGTCAGTTATACTTCTAGCTATGTTGTTTTATCTCAAAACTATTCCAGCAGGTGAAAAGTACGTCATTTGGTTCCTCTCCAAAATATGTGAACTGCCAAGTACAACACTTTTAAGAGCAAATGTTTACTTGAACTTACATTTTGGATATTCCGCATGTGATACCTTCATAGCAAAATAGACCTTGTTATTAACACATGAGTATAGCAAACTACTTGATTTAAAATTGTAACTAATTGAGAATGCGCAATTCATAATTTGGCTTCATTTATCAAAATGTATTGCAAATGAACTGCTGTTGAACAAGTACTTGAGAGTTGGAGATTAAAAGTTTGAATTTTCTAAATAAATAATAGGATCTCTTTATATAAACATTAAAGTTACAAAAAAGGTTTTCATTTTCTGTGGAATTCTTATTTGCTAAGTCGAAAAGTGCTTCACAAGAATCTGTAGATGTGCTAAGAAAGCCAAGGAGCAATGAATATAATGCAGTCCTTGATCTGTGCAAGGACATTAGATAATACTGTGTTGGGTTTATTTAGTGATTTAGAGCAGTGGTCTCCAAACCAAGGCCCAAGGGCTGGATGTGGCCCTTTTCTTGTCTTTATCTGGCCCTTTTGGCACTATTCCTCTCACCGATATGAGGCTCTATTCATTCCACAATGAGACACCAAACTTTCCAGTGACACCAACAGTGGGGCATAATTTCTCCCAGTGACACCAAGAATGGGGCACCATTTCTTCTGCTAATGCCAGTGATGTGGTACTATGTCTTCCAATGACATCAATGATGGGGCACAATTTCTCCCACCAGTACCAATTATGGGACACTATTTCTCCTCCTACTAACCAAAGATGCTATGTAATTATTTACTCCCATTGACCACCAAGACTGAGGCATTATTTACATTTACTCTGGGGCATTTTCTACTCCTAATAGCCACAGTCCAGCCCCCGTAATGTATGAAGGACAGTAAACTGGCCCTTTGTTTAGAAAGTTTGGAAACCCCTGATCTTGGGTAAAACAGTGATGTGCAGCAATGTACAGCAGCCAATCAAACATCTTTCAGTAGCTTAGACCAAACTGATGAAAAATTCTTTCATATTAGTTCATAGATGACCACTACACTTTGCACCTTGTTTTATCCATTAATACATATATTTCAGCATTTTCTATGTGTAGATTTCATGCCTTTTGACACATGAGCTGCTGAAAAATAAAAATGTTCCTTAGATATGAGACATATGTTTTTCTATATCCTCATTTACAGTATTTATAGAAATATTTATGGACCACCAATCATAATTTCTACTTTTATTTACAGGATATACAGACCAAACTGAACTTGGCAGCAGCAGTTCATCCTTACCATGGACTAGCATAGCATCTATAGCAATCGCCTGTACGGTTGCTGGATTTTTTCTTGGTGTAATGTGCTGGAAGGTAAGCTGTTCTGAATGCATATAAAATTTAATAAGTTCTAGTAGTAACAAAAGCAGTGATTCTATTATCATTTGAATCAGGAGTAGTTATAGTAGCCTAGACCATGACATATAATTTAACAAATCTGATTGGATTCAGCTGAAAATAATTGTCACATATTGTTTTTAAGTACAGATCCTCTTTCTGGCATTTTAGCTTTGGAAATCAATATCAAATATCAGATTAATAGCACACCTAACATTTATTTATTGCTTTTTTTTCAGTTAAAACACCAAAGAAGAGCAAATAATGAAGTATCTGAAATGCACACTGATCAAAAAGACACTAACGAATTAAATAAGTATGTTTTCTTCTTTAATTGACTAAATTTTGTCTTCTTCTATGTATAAAACTGTCCTTGATGAAAAGAGGGGAATTTGCTAAGATTGGAGCAGGCAAAATTGGGAGCAGCTGTGTTTTTTTTTTGTAACTGAACAAGCTTAAGATAGAAGATGGTTACTATGCACTGCTGCAGATTCGGTCTATTCCAGTTTTAGTAAGTACCCCCCCAGAGGGTCATAAATAGAGTATTGCCAGATTTGACAGTTGACTATCCATACATACAGAGAGGTTGACCCTTATGGAAGAAAGTGCTAGGTATTGAGACCTGGACTTTCCATTAGGCCAGGTTCAACGTATGCCAACATGAATGTAATACCCTAAGACATGGCATTTAATCATGACTATGCTTCTCTATGACTGACACAAAGCTGCCCTAGAGCAGCATACATTTTCATATATGAAAAACACTGTAGTCAACATTTCATAAAACTTCTAACACAATAGGTCTCATGACTGTCCACTAAATGTTCTTGCAATGTTACATCGGCTTAAAAAGCTGTCTCGCTATGACATACAGGTGAGGCAGGAAATTTACAACATTTCATTAGACATACCTAGTGGGCATGCCAGTTCCTACATGAGCTCTAATGTTGCATGATATGTCAGATATACAGAGAATTGAGCAAATACAGTAAAAATCGGATTTTCAATTCCCAGCTGTAAAGGCAAACTGATGCCTAGCACTATAAAGCCAAATCAAATTATGTGAGCTATTCATATAGTAGTAGACTAGTATTTATTACTTACTTCCATTGAAGAGTGCTTTGTTCAGTGATTATTCAGTGAAAATAAATATTGAATCCTTCAATAACTAAGTTGAATTGTATATTAAAAGATTTCTTTTTTTTTTTCTTAGCATGCTACATCAGACAGCAAAAGAAGTTTCCATAATTTAGACATTTTAGCAATTCCTGGTAAGTTGTTTTTTTTTAAGATTATTGTAAGGTTATGTGATTTTTTGCACATTAATCTAATATCAGAACAAGCAATTTTTAGTTAGGAGTGTAGCAAATAAACTATTAAATAGTGGACACAGACTGATTGCCAAAAAGCTTGCTTTTCTATAATGTGATCAAATAAAGCTTGGTGAAAACTAAGTAAAATCTAGATTTATCAAGTTAGTATGCTTTTCTGTTCCTATTACCAGTTATGGATGGATATCAAATCATCCCTCTAGTCCCTAATTTGTAAGGGCGTGAATTCAAATAATTTTGATCTTATCAACACATGTTCATTCAGGTTGATTTATTGTAGTCCAAATCCTTCCAAATCAAATATTTCTTAAGGAAAGCTTTGTTGTAATATAAACCTTTAGTTGTTTGATGTATTAAACTTGTGGCTTCATATACACTGGGCTTTTGCAGCCACTTTTAGGGGTGTCAGGCATTATTTTACTGCTTCCAAACAGCCCTCCATGTTGTCCTATGTGTCCATGCACACATAGTATTTTAGAAGCTTTTAGTAGCAGTAGCGTTTACCAGCAGGAAACAAAAAATAGAGCCAGTGCATCCAGGAGCAGCAGCGTTTTGGCAGAAAAAAACACTTGACGCTTGTAAATGCATGTAAATGTGCCTAAACACGCGTTAATGCTAGGCACATTCAGCACTTGAACATTAATTAATTTCAATGGCCAGAATAAATTATTATTCTGGCCAATAAAATGAATTGCCACTTGTAAATGCTCCTAAATGCTTGTAAACGCGTTAGTATTTTGACAAGCGCCAGGCGTTTTTTTCTGCCAAAACGCTTCTGCCAAGAGGTGGAGCATTTTTAAAATGTCCTGTTTGCATGAGGCCTTTCATTTAACATTCCCACTTAAGATGAACCAACAGGACACATTTCAACATTACTAAAATATATTATTTGCTTAAAAAAACTACTTGCAGGTGTGACCTAAATCCTGGACAAATGATCCCATGGTAGCTTACTATCTGGAAGACTGTCAGTGCCAGGGGCGGACTGACAACTCATGGGGCCCCTGGGCAATAGGGATCATGGGGCCCCTGTGTCCTTCGCCCAAACCCAAAAAAGCCTATGAAAAGCTAATTAAAGGTACCAGGGGCATCTCATGGGGCCCCCCACTGAGCCCGGGCCCTCGGGTAGTGCCTGAGTGCTCAAATGGTCAGTCCGCCCCTGGTCAGTGCTTCACATCCTTAAGCTGGCCATATACTGTAACAAGAGAAATCTATTGACTCCAACGCTTACATCATTGTGGATGGAGAAATCTCAGCTGCAGTCTATTGTTCTCTGACAGTTGGTGCCCACTGCTGTCAAAGTATCCGGACAGTGGCTGTATCTGATTGCATGCAGCTGTTTGGCTGTTGCACTATATACTTCAGTAAGTGAAATAAAATTTGCTTAGCAAGGCAGAATTACTTGACAGTTTTTGCTGTTTCCTTTATACTGTTATATAAAGAGTTCATTTTGTACTCCCTAAAGCCGCATAGTTTTCACGCATGAGCACATGTATTCTAAGTACTTTTGATGTGATATTAGTTAAAGCTGTATCACTTCTCCTGAAGTCTCTTACAGACAGCCCACTTCTTTTAATGTGTGATCATAAGAGAATCTATTCATGCTTGCCCGCCAGCATTTAATATGTTTTGTGTTTTGTTCTTGATTATGTATAACTCACTAATTTAATTCACAAACCCCACTTAGGAAGCACGCTGTGGCTTAATCCAATATATTAAAATTGGATGTTTGATCCAAAGTATAATTTAAGAAGACATTTTAAAAAATAATACAAAGTTTGTTAAATATTCTTTTTCCAATTAGAGTATTGTTATTATTCCTACAAAATCAAATGCAGTTTCCATCTTCATCTAGAAGGATATATGGTAAATATTATGGTGCATCTGACCTCAAAATTCTTAAAGCAATCCAGTGCCATGTAAGGATGGCTTATACCATCATAAAAGCTGTACAGCTGAAATTATCAGTAGGCATAAAAAGAATTGCTCTCAAAAATATAGATTGTATAGAATACAGTTAACAGTAATTCCTCTAAGAATTTCTCTCTGAGAGTGTTCGGACTGTCAGAAAATGAATCAGAAATTCCTGTTACATAGTCAAATGGACCATGCATTCAATGGATATGATGAAGTGAGCCAGTTCCTGTTCTTCAACTATAAAGCAATTTATTTTAATAAATCGAAAACTAATTCAGAAACTACACCTAAGCAGAATGCATATACCCAGCCTTCCTAGGAGGCGCCACAATGCAGAAAATAATTGCACTGTATTGGATGCCTCTATCAGGCTGGCAATTAGTTGTACAGCCTGTAAGTCAATATTTGCACAATCTATTTGACTCACTACATCAAATTTGGCCAAACAATGAACTCTATCAGACATTTAGAATTTTTAGCTTATATACATTAAATAAAATAGTTTTCAGTAAATTAAACCTCATTTCTTCACTAAGATGTATTTACTGATTACATTTATGAACACAGCAAAGCTTTTTCTCCTTCTGAAATGTTAATCTGTGTTTGATTTACTCTTGCAGGTGACAGCACTATGTTTGAATTTTATCTGGAGCAGTTGAAAAGACTCATTTACTCTTGAGCTGCAACAAACTGTTATTAGGACTCCTTCGTGATACACATGAATTCAGTCTTTGCCCTGATTTAAAACTGCCTACAAGAGTAAGTGCTTCATGGGACTGGTTTGTGCAAGGGAACTCTGTTTCCGAAAAATAAGAGCTCAGCTTGTAGGACATCTGCGATCATAGGTTACAGAAGCATAACTACAGTAAAAGTGGCAAAGGCTCAAGGACAAATCTGAGATCAAAAGGTTTTCCTGCCAAGATGAAAATGAAAAATACCTTTTGGGCTATCAAGTAACAAAAATGTTGGAACAATTCAGTGGTTCCTCATGTTTCAGCTCCAAATATACTGTCGTTCAGTGAAAATCATTGGGATCAAACACTCTCACTAATCCTTGTTCGCCTTGGATACTGTTTCTCTACATCAGCCATGATAGAACAACAGCGCCCAAAGACAGTAGTGTGAAGACTCTTCATAGCAAGTCATCTATAGGATTTAAAGGGTCATTTCTTTAACAGATAAGAATAGTGCTTCTCTTACCAGCACAAGAGTTAGGATATATGCGTATATAATTTTTTTTTTTTAAGTTCACATAATAAATATATTTTTTTATATTGGATGCACATTTCTGTACATAAAGTATTATAGTACATACCACTTACATTCAGTTGTTAATCATGATAGCTAAAGAGCCTGGTAGGCATAAATTAATAAAATCATTACAAATAATATGACTCGAATATGAATGGCATGATCTGTTTAACTCCATTAGTGAGTTACAGAGTCCTGAAGTCAACCAATGTAAAGAATGCTCCACCAATAATGTTCCCTCAGTAAAGTATCATGGAAAATTAATGGTGGGGCAGGGTGACAAGAAGAATGTAAGAAAAAAACTATAATTTTAGTTATGCCTTGAATGGCATAATCAAGTGGTCTGTATTTATATCCAAGTTTAAATTATTTATTGCAACCATTTACTATAGTAGAAATTATGATCTTAAATACTTTATTACAAACCTGATGTCATAACATAAATAATTAATCTTACAGCATATGCCAGTAGTAACATTTACGAGGAGTGCTTTGTTGGAATCTGTTAACACATTCTTCTCCCAGTATCTGTTAACACTGGCAGGAAATCATGGTAATCTTAATACTCTTACTTATGTTCATTTTATTTTCAGAGACATCAATTATATATTTTCTAAACATGAGATCACTGCATTCATGAAAAGTGTTTTTTGGGATATGTGCATTGTATGCGTGGGCTTGATGTATTTTTTGTCATTACCATGTATATAATCATGCTTCCCATCTCTAGATCTGTTAGACACATGGAACAGTTTTCTTTTTTGCTAGGCAAGTGGCGTGGTTGGGTACTTGTCACACAGGCCATAGGCTTGCCTCTAGTATAGATTCTGCATTTCTATGAAGGCGGCTCATTTCTAATAACTTACATGTTAACATTGAAAATGTATAAACTGTGTATAACTGAATATTATTCTTTTCCTAATTTTATAATTAAAGCAGGGTCAGCTTTTATATAAAAAAAACTAGGTCTATACAATTTATCTATGTATATCACATACATGTCAGTGAAATTGTGGTATATGGAGTAGTAAGAAAGGTTATTCCCAGTTTATAATATTAAGTATTAAAGCGGAACAAAAGTCTCAATACTTACCTCTGCTTAAGCATTCTGAGGTCTCTAACTGAGTCCGGTACCTTCTCCTTGGCTTTTTCCAGGAGTTGGTCTTTGCCTTCTTGATTGACTAGTGTGAGATGACGTGACTTCACATGTACAGGAGTACAGTCATCCTGGCACAAATTCACTGTGCTGGAATGTAAACTGAGCTGTGCAGGAACAGGCAGGTACATTTATTTTATTGCAGAAGAGACATTGCATGTCTCTTCCACATTAAAGAACATGCCTGCTCACAGTTTTTTTAAATTAAGACTTTCATTTCACTTTAAGTCAAACTAACAGTGGAAGATACCACCTCATCTGATAATGGGTGTAGACATTTTTCCATACTCTTCAATTCTTCAATTACTTGAGCAAAAAAAGATCTTCATCTAAATTAAATATTTAATGTTCAATATGCTTGCCCAGCTAAAACAAAAGAACTTCAGATACAGTTTGGCAGGAAGCCTATGCTTTAAGGCATACAGTGCTTGGTATTATTCTGTGAATGGTTGCTACTTGGTTTAAGAAAGTATTCAACAGGTCTGAAATAGTTTGCCAGTTCTGTATTTTTTCTCTCCTTAGCTGTTCAACAACAAAGACATAATAAGGAACATATGGTTTTTACTCTAAACTGATCATTTGTTAGAAATAGGCACAA